ATTTCTACGGAGTTTAAACTGAAATGGCATTCAATCTGTTGAGAACTATATGCGAATTTCGCAATCGACCACGTTGTCCAAGTTCGGACCGATCATAGGGGTCATGCCTAGTTCATTGACCCTGCTTGTCACTCACTAAGCGCGGCGGCGAGAGGAAGGTGTAGACACCATTTGGTCTGGCATTTACGGAGACTTTAAAATTTCACGAGGTACGTAAACAAATTCTTGAACGATCCGTGCTCTTTTTACATGATTTTTTATTGACCAAAAAGGAAATAACGATCGGAACTTTGTTCATGGCCTAACCCGGACTTTAAGGTCGAGTTGAACCATCCCTGGGAATGATTGACCTTGCACACTTAACCCAACAGTATTTACTCACCAGGTGCTAACAGTGTAATAGATGAACCATGTGTCCAAAACAAGTTGATTAACAGGTTATTTGCGAACAGAAAATCTGTGTTTTTTGACACAAATACAATGTACGTAAATGTGAAGTACTAATACTATGGCAACGTACTTGACTTTCAGTTTGTACATAATGTACTTTCAGGGAAATATTTGCCTAGAATTTAAGTGTATCGTGGTCAGTAAACTTCTGTACAATTTGGTCATGCCAGAACAGGGGATGGGGAAGAGTTACATGACAAGATTGGTTGAAATGTTTGTCTCATTTGCATAAATTAATATTCATGAGTAATGATAAACTTGTCTTTTCAGTAAAATTGTGCCAAAATACTTTCCGATGCCTAAAATGGTGGTTCGAAATTGACTGATTCTATCATTATGATCTGGAAAAATAATCAAAAACTGATGTAAAAGTGTTTTTGATCAGTCAAGCAAACTGTTGAAAGTAAACGTAGGTTTATTCATAGGCGATCATGACAAGTTACGAAAGTCATGGGAAATGCAGCCTGAGAGGCACGTTGATATTGTACTACCGTATTGTTCAAAATTGTGCACGTATTCAATAATCTATCTAGATCGGGCGGCGTCCTCTTGTGCCAACCCCACTTGAGGGTGAACAATGTTCTATGTTCCACGCTTTACGCTTTGAATCATGGGTAAAAATCTGTCGTAGATATTACATACCGTAAAGAATTTATAAGACGAGGGTATGCAAGAATGGGGTTGATCTTGTGCTAATTTAAGAAGTCGTGCGAATTGTGAAATCACAGAATAAAAAGATATAACTACATTATAGGAATACTACCAGTAATGCAAATAAGCCTTCTGTGAAATAACTAGTTATCGTTCTTCAGTTTTTGTTTGTGTCCTAGCTTATATGAATTTACTACATACATTTTCTGTTTACGCAATCACCAAGCATACACTACGTTTGGAGATGCCAATTTGTCTGAAATAAATTTAATTGACAATTGATTGTATGAAACCCGGATAAGATCTCGTTTCACTATTTATAGATATCAAAGTTCCTTTACCTTTATCTTCAATGAACATTTCGCTTATTTTACAAGTTTTTTTGTGTACGAGGGGCATGTGAATCAACACAATATATATTCTAAACACACATAAATTAAATATATAACAAATCCATTAATGTTGCATAACACATTGTCTCGTTACAGCCATTCTGAGTATTATTTGGACAGTCAGTTACCACTATGGTTTGCAACTTAAAACACTTTGGCAGTTGCTTTGCATTTACTTGACGGCGCCTCTTGACAGATGGTGTGTGTGATTCATAGGGTTGTTAACATTATGATTTTCAAACTTAGTGTTCTTATTTAATAACTACTGTCAAATACTTTATTTTAGCTGGAATTAATTTTTACTGAAAAGACGTTTTGGGTGTTTTGTATGGAATTTATTTTCACTGATTTCTGACTAGTTGAACGTAAAATATATGAAAAAAGGTATATTCGCTGGATTTTATTTTCACTGAATCAACCCTTCAGTGAAAATAGCGAAAATTAATTCAAAGCGAACATAAAGTACTCTACAGTATTTCTGCTTTATATTGTATGCAAGTCAAGAAATATTAAAACACTTAAAATAACCTGTTTGTATATTCTAATGAGCGCTTTTCATTTTGAAAAAAAAGGCACTTTACCCGCATCTAGTTAGTATGATAATGGAATGATCTAAACTGTGCATGCGTAAATGCGTAACGGCACGTCAAGTCTAGATTAGACAAAAAACGATGTGTTCTGCAAAGTTGCAAAACAGAATACTAAGTAGTTGTAAGGCATACACAGACATACCAAAAACAGTGTGTGTGTGTGGGGGGGGGGGGGGTCGACAGGCAATGTGCATTATTCTTTATAAAACTATACCTGTATGATGGCTTGACGTTCTAAGTGTCCTTCCCATCGAAATGTTGATAGGACATTTTATTTGGCACATACACAACACTGGGCCAATATGATTTGAAATCTGATGTATGGCGAGTAATTTATTTTTGAAATTTTATATATTTCATTTTACTCTGCGCCTTTAAGAGTTACCAAAAAGATGTTTTTTTATTTTTTAATCAGATTGATTACAGAGCCATTATTATTCCAACTCACAAAAATAAAAAAAACAGTGAAGTATTATGAAATATTTCTCACTGAAATTAATCACTGTTTAATTTCAGAGCACAGAATTTCTGAAAAATATAAATAAATGTCTCTGTTCATATCCAAAGTTATTAGAGTAAATTGACCATTTGTGTTTGCCTCCATGGGTTTCACCAGGCTTTGCTGTTTAAATAAAATAGCTGCATGAAGTGTGATGTAAGTCAACATTTCAACTGTCAATTTCAACTGTCAAGGTGACTGTTTTTATTGTCAATTTCTTTACTTAGATGAGTGATGTCATGATTTTATTTGAAATTGATGTCAGTACACAGGGTTGTTACATTAGGATCTTGCATTCAATATCATCAGAAAAAAATATTGTTCTTGAGTATTACCTTGTATATCCCATCAACAGAACCGATCCAGAATGAAGCTCTACTGGTGTTTGGCGTTTGGTGTCTTGTTTGCGTATTATACTTACTGCCCAATGCCTGATGGGCTTGCAGAACCAATGAAATTGAGAATAGTATTTGCTTCCAGACAAATTATAAAGCTGGTGGTGAGTGAATAATGTACTTTACTCAGTCCTCCACTGAAGGGTCAGACTACACTGCAAACACTGGCGGCGCCCTCACTTACGTTCCTCTCGTTCAGGTTTTCACCACTGCCACACTGTAATTTGCATATGTTCTGTAATTTGCATAAAAAATGTGGTGAATCACCACATTTTTTTCAAACAAAGATTTTATGCGTATAACCTTCATGACTTTTTACGAAATAAATATGCCGATGTTTATAAATAAGAAAGCATCCAACAGAGAGTGTCTTTAGGTGTATACGTGTCACTTTTGTACGAGACCTATTTTTCAAAGTGGAAGTACATTCATGTTTACATGTGTGATGTTTGGCTAAAGGAAACCTACTTTCACAAGTCAAAGTTTGTCTTACTTTATCAAAACTACTTACACTAGTCTTGCAAAATCGCGAGATTTAAATGAAAAGGAAAATGCGTGTGATACCAAATATTCAAAGTTCATATACATAAGCGAAAACAAAAATATTTTAAAATTACTGCGCGACACGAAGAGAATTCAAACGTCTTTGATAACATTCTATAGAACATATACAAATTACGGTGTGGCAGTGGTGAAAACCCGAATGAGAGGAACGGAAGTGAGGGCGTCACCAGTGTTTGGAGTGTGGAGTCAGACGTTTATTAGTGAAACTGGATTGCAAGTCGCTTGTAACTAGTGTTGTATATCTAAATTGTCGTCTTGCGTTCGTAACTTAACTTCTCAGCTGGCTTTGCATTTTCGCATGTAATTTTTAAAGAAAGTATCATTGCCATTGATAATTTCAACTTATTCTTTGTAGTATTTACCCATGTTACTAAATCTAGTGCCATCTAGTGACAGAGTGCTTCTAGCTAAATGTTAAGTTACACTGTGCAATACCAGCCTTGATAATGATATAAGGTATATTTCTTTTCCTAAAAGGGTATTGGTGCAGTGCTGTCTGGTTACACCGACAGAATCAGTTTTTCAAGATCAGTAATAGAATTTGAGCAAGGACTTCTCAGTTTGAGTTGTAGCGATGAACCAAACATTACATTCCAAGATGAAATATTTGATGGTGTTCGGGTGCGTGTTTATCAACCTGTTGAGAAATCAGACAAACCCATTGCTGGGATGGTGTATGTACATGGTGGTGGCTGGGTAGTTGGTAGTGTAGGTAAGTGTTATTGTTATAAAGGGAATGATGATTCTCTGCAAAACGGCAATCATTAAAACTTATTGCCAGATTTCCTGGAATTTTGAATCCAGATAAAAAGGTATTCAGTAGTTGTGAAACTACTTTTTGAAAAAAAGTATTTTTATTATTGTTGCATACAGCCATACAGCTGCCTGGGCCAACGAGCTTAAGTCAACACAAAAATTTAGAATTCATACATATTAAAGATCATAAATAAAATCATGTACACAACACATAAAAATAAACATTTTTAAAAAAAAAGGTGATTTTCACCATTGATCAGGCCTGTAGATTTCGACCATTTTTGTCGCCAGGGCGATTAAAACAAATTGGCATTCTAAGCATAATCTGACAGATGACCAACTCTCTGTAACATAGAACAAATTAAACAGCTTGTCAACTTTTGGTGGTGCACCTCTACCCACAATTCAACACTTTGTGCATACGTATTTCATTATCTGTCATATTTAATTATCACATCTCACTGCTGTTACGCATGCTATGATTGGTTGAGACTCAGTCACATGACATGGAATAAAAATGGATATTACATGGTATATTGCCCGCCAAGTGGATTTTACATGGGTATATCACATGGATGACGTCACTGAAACTACTGCGCAACGATACTGCGCATAACAAATTGTCGTTCGCTGCACTGGTGCTGCTCTGGCCGCTGTTGCTTCTGGGGTTGCTTTCAGGGTTTTGAAGGAACTTTAGCCATTCGAAATAGACAGTGAACGTGCCAGAATGGATATTAAGTGAGATACTCTGTTTTGATGTATAGGGTATTTTTTATATGGAGCGAAAATTTAAGACAAAGCCGCCACTGAAACGTCGCAGCCGGGGTGGCTGCAGCGCGTTTTGCTGTAAGCATTTCTACGCGTTCCATGCCGATGCTAACCGAAAACACTCTAAAGCTGTGTTAGTTTGTGAATAGGTGTGGTACGTTCGTGAGAAGGTAATTTCAGTCATTTCCATGGCGCTCTGACATTTTTATTTGTATAGTGATCAAATAACTTGCGTTTAAGAATTTCTCAATTCATTTCAAAAATTTTATTCTTGATAATTTGAGTGATCCACACTGCTGAAACACGGTTCAAATAAAAAGACTATCCATGGCTGAAAATAACATTTACTGAGTGTATTTAGTTGTTTTTCAGCAAACAATGTATGTATGTTATTGAGTAATGTGAAACTTGTTATAATAGATAAAATAAAATATTGCATACTTCAAATATAAGTGTTGTTATTTTGTGGGAGAGCGGGTGTGAGTGATGTATGGTAGCTGTGATTGTCATGGTGGATGTCTGTTCGATGTGATAAAATAAATAACACATGGTTATTCGGGCAATAGCACGATTTGTTGTCTGCCCTCGGGCTGTTGGTCATGACCATAATCCCTTAGGCAGGCAACACATTGTGATATTACTCTCACAAGCATGTGTTATTATTTAAATATTGTGATGAAAAGTTTTCAGAATAATGTGTTTGAAAATGTCAGTGAATCAGTTTTGACCAATGATGACACAAGGGGCATCGCATCTGAAATATTTAAATTTCATTTCTGAACATTTTTGGTGTTTCTGTGTTTTTTAATGTACCGATATTCAATTGTAAAACATAATTAATTCTGGCAACCTACAATTTTGTACTTGTCTATTAAATTTTTGATTTGGCCACCAACAATTTGAACTTGGTTGCCAATGCCGTCTAGAGAAATAAATTGAAGACTGTTATCTCGAGATTTGGTTTGGACACATGTGGTGAAAAAATCGTTCGTAACGGTATTTAGATTTCCTGAAAATAAATGCATGTGATAAGTGCCTGTATAAAATATTTGTCTGTCTTTTATTTTTGCAGATTCATATCATTATCAGACCAATTACATAGCGGCAAGGCTTGGTATTGTACTCGTATCTGTTGAGTAAGTTATTGTATATATTTTTGTTTAAAATGACAAGCTTGGGGTTTTTGACGCTTTTATTATTACAAAAAGACATTTTTCGCAAATTTTTTATGCCCAACCCTGAAGTGCCCCAACTTTAACTAAGCAGTCTATGTTAGTTTGGTATGATATATATTAGTTTGACTCGCATGCAAGATTATTTGAATCAAATTGGTCAATGCATTTGATCTCACATTTATGCATTAATTTTTAACTTTCAGCTACCGACTCGCTCCAGAGCATCCATTCCCGGTCCCATTGCAAGATGTGGTCAAGGCAACTATATGGTTTCTCCAGAATGCCAAAGACTACAACGTTGATCCTGAACGAATTGCTGTGGTTGGCGACAGCGCCGGAGGGAATCTGGCCGCAGCAACGGCATCGCTGTTAACTTTCCAGGAAAAATACAAACAAATGAATTTGCCAAAACTGAAATTCCAGGGTCTGATTTATCCATGCCTACAGAGTCTAGACTTTCTCACTCCTTCCTATCAACAAAATAAAAACCTTTTCATCTTGAATCAGCATTTGATGGTTGAATTTTGGTCGTGGTATCTAACTGGTCATTTAAAGTACGTTGCGGCAATGAAAGTCAACAACCACACTTCACCGCAAGTTAAGGATAATGAGCGCAAGATCATGGGACACGACCAAATACCGACAGAACTCAAAAAACGTGATTATATACCTCCAACTGATTTTAACTTTGGTAATATTGGTATCTTCACTTCAATTCAAAATCATCTTTTAAATCCGTCCTTTGCACCACTCATGAGATCCATAGTTACCGGATTGCCATCGGCATATATCGTTACAGCGGAATTTGATGTATTACGAGATGATGGTATTTTTTATGTCAAGAAACTAGAAGATGCTAACGTGCCAGTAACATGGAAGCACTACGAACATGGATATCATGGAATATTTAGTGTCTTCAAAGGACCAATTGCGTCTGAAGTCGGTAGACAATCAATGGATGACTTTTTACGGTTCTGTCGTGAAAATTTGTAATAATAATGTAATTTAGAAACTCTTATTCAAATCAATGTTTTGTGCATTTTCACCAAATCTTTCAAATGATACTTGAATAATTTGTTTTTACGACTTACATATCATCCCAAATTTGAAGATTGAAATGTTTTGCTGTATATTTTGAGTTCTGCGTCTGTACCTATACAATCAAAGCAATTATGCATTTGACATTCCCATTATTTTGCAAGGGTATTTTTCGATTTGATCACAATATGGTCAAGTTAGCAGTCAGAACACATGACAATAACTTTGTGTTTGAAACTATGGTAACAAGTTGTAAAATACAGCCATGGTTAAATTAACAATTTTAGATTCAAAAGACGAAAATTCTTCCAAAAGAAAGCAGGTTCTTGCCCACTCTGAATAATTTAGGTAAAGGTGTGTTACTACACTACAGCATGGCTCATTGACTGAAAATTGAAGAGTGTTGTGATTTATATACAATATAAATCTTGACTTTAATTGGATTATGTTAAATTTTCTATTCGGCCAATAGTGAAATTACCTCCACAATATTATGATATGCAATATACAACAGTAGTTTCATACATGTAAATAGTGGAAACATCTGTATGGTAAAAGTATTACACAAAGCTGCATTGTGTATGTCTGTTTTGTTTCAAATAACACTCGAGAAGAACTTGACCAATCACTAATCCTGAATGGATGAATACAGATCACGTTGATTTCCATAAAACAAGTGTGGCTTTGACACATCCAGTTTCCTGCTACTTGAATATTAAATTTGTTTACAATTTAAAATATTTCCGATCAGGCACAAGATATAATACGCTGCTTTGTAAAGTTTATTAAAATTTACTGTATTTGAGAGTTTGGGTTGAGAGAGGTGGCATTTAGTTCTCACCTGTAAATGGTTGCACTGTTTATACAGATGACCAAGCAATTCCAGAGTATGGTTTTCTTTGTGTGGTTTAAATTGCTGATCCTGTTCTGTATCAAAAGTAGGGTTTCGGGGGGGGGGGGGGTAATCACACAAAAAATTAAGCACAAGACATGGGTTTATGTCAAAGATTGCAATTTTGATTATTGCCTCGATCAACATGTACCGACAGAAAAAAAGACATTGCCAAGTTCACATGTAACTGAGTTATTCCCGACTTGATTGGAACCTATCAAAGGACTCTACGGAGTCAAAGTTGGTATTTAGTTGTGGAAAATTACAGTTTATCAACACAAATCTTGCACATCTCAACATTGACAGTTTAATTTTGAAGTTTTGATTGAATATGATTCAAGTTGAAGAAATGACTTGTGGGTAATGGGCATTTATTTAGCCAATGAAAAGTGATTTGAATGTAAACGCAAACTTCCTGGGTAAATGTTTTATAAATTTTCATCAAAACTGTTGATAGCTTTCTGAAATATGCAGTGTAATTCATACACCAAGGAATCCTGAGCTTTATGATATGTACATTGATTTTATTAAAAATTGCTAAAATTCCCTGTATTCTATTAGATTTTCTTTATGCAAATTTAACTATTGTTAATTGTTAAAAAATTCATGATTTGCATCATTCCAGAATTATTTGTTTTGTGCAATTTATTGAAGTTAAAAAAAATAAAAAATGTTTATGATAGTTAATCCAAGCAGTCCTGTAATAGTAATGTTGGTATCCTCGCCCTGTTACCCACACTCACACATGCTTGCCCGCAATATTGCATTAAAACAGTGCAAACACATCTTGAGATGACTGGACAAATGTTGTCGTCTATAAATGTATATTTCATTAGGTGTAAACATAAACCTTTTCTTTTGGAATTTAATTTATTATGAATTTGGGTCATATACCCTTATTTCTGTAAACTCATTCTTGTCTCGGCGTTTGTGCTGACTATAAATAAAGTGAGAATGGGATAATTGGCCACTTTCATGACCTCTGAAGGTCACACATCCTGGTACTTTCGTTGGTATGAGTTTATTGTCTTGATATTTTAGCAAAATTTCCTTGACTACTTGTTTCAGCTGCGTGAATAAAATGTTTGTTAGGAACACAAATTTTCATTAAATAGCCTGAATTGTGCATGTTTGTGATGTCATACCAACAAAAGTACCAGGATGTGTGACCTTTAGGGATCATGAAAATGTAAACTGTTCATTGTAACAGTCTGTTGAAATGCATACACAGAATGTTGCTAAAGAAATTCCAAAATTATGAAAATTAATGTGAATATGAATGATTTTATTGGTTATAGCCACTTGTATATTTCAATTTATTGGCATAAGATTCTACTTAGAACCTATGAACATTTAAAAATAAGATATAAAATAATTAGTACCTTCAGAACAATTTCAAAACTACCTATATGGACCTGATTTGGGCATACATGTATACGCAAAGTTGTCTTTACTTCAAAACCATTTTTCTGATCATAGTCCAAAATAACTTAAAATTATGATTCGAACATACTGTAGGGGATGGACTTCATGAATCAAAGTGTGAAAATATAATAATGTGAGTAAATGACAAGCAATCTGGAAACTGATATCTCTACACTTTTTGTCTATTTTAAGTATATACTTTTCATTTTAATACCGGTAGTACAATGTGGGACATTGTAAATACCTTATGACTCTCTGTTTACCACATCTTCAAAATAACTTACTGCTACACCAAAACTATTAGAGGTTTAAGAAGCATACTTAGCAAAAGTCATTTCACTGGAATATATAATAAACATAATTTTTTTTATTTTATCATTAGATTTCAATTTTACCAGTCCAGGCTTTTATAAGTATAATGCATCTGCCATTTTGATAGTTTGATATTTATAGGCAAGATATTTTTATGCATTGTCTAACGTATGTACACCAAAAATCACATTTATATGTTATATAACTTTTTAAGATAGAAGGAAGTGTTTAAAAAAATACCAGATTTGGTGAAATATGGCCAACATTTCGTATTCCCTCAATTTTCCTAAACCATAGGGTAAATATTTACCTGAATACGCAGTTATTTACATAAAGTTGATAAGTTGTGTGTTGTATGCTAATGGTTGTAAATAAACACGTACAAAACATTTAGAAAGGAATGAGTTAGTTAATGCCTATACTGAATGATGAATTTTAATATGTGCATGCACAGTCCCTGGTGCATGTAATACGTGGTTTCTACGAAGTCACTGTGCGCAAGGGCACGTGAGTTGAGTCGGTTGTGGGTAGAAACCCGGAGAGAGATCGAGAAGACAAGTTCACCGTGCGGTAACAATAACTCAACTGTTTATTCACTTCACTCGATTACATGTAAGTTACAATGAAACAACAAACAAACTACTAATAATAACACCGGGATGTGATTGGTTGAAATAACTGTGGGTGTGGCAACAGCAGTGGGTGTCTAATTAGGTCAGACTAACAGTCTCCACATTACTCCCGGCGGCAGAAATAAATACTACATGTACATGCATTGTAGTAACGAACAAATCACTAGAAAATCGAATAAAACATAAAAAATATAAGCGAATAATAGAATAACAACGTTGATGTTCACAAAAAGAATACGAACTAAACAATTTAAAATTAAACGGTAACTAGCACAAATCAAGTCATCAAAATGTTCGATTTAAGAAGTAGGACCTGACCAGTCATTAATCCAATCCCTAATTCTTTGTCGGGCTCTGATGTTCGCCTCACGCCGTGGAGGCCGATTAGAAATAACATTAGCAGTACGTGTGTCATTAGAATCGTTAATATGTCTATTGTTATCAGTGTCCAAGATTTGTATATTATCCGTAGAGACTTCAATAGGATATAGTTTCACAATAGGACGATTTGTTTTACCGTTACGCGTCTGATATTTGCAGCGCGAGTTATACCGTCGTTTCCTGTATAAGAGACTCGACCACGGCTAAATCCCATAACGTACGTTTCTTGTGTCTGAATGTACAAGTACAACGTCTCCAGACTTGATCGCGTTTGTTAATTTCCCGGTTTTTTGTCGTTCATGTCGTTCTCGGAGTGCTGATAAATATTCTAACTCCCATTTTTTCCAAAGTCGATCCATAGTTTCACTGAGCTTCGTGGCACGTTTATGGAGAGTTTCCTTTGTTTCGTACGTCGGATCGATGAGTTCCTCCATGTCGATAGTTACATGTGGTAATGTGTTCAACGTACGGCCATGGAGTAAGTGAGCTGGGGTGAGGGGAGTCGCCTCTGCGTCGTCACCATAAACATAAGTTATCGGACGGTTGTTTATTGTTGTTTCTATTTCGCACAATATAGTATTCATTTCATCCATTGTGACGAATGCGCGACGAAGTACTTTCTTTAACTGAATGTGATGGTTTGCAAGGAAGGCTTTTACTTGCGGGTCGTTGAACAGATCGTTGATTTCCTTAGCGGCGGATAAGTAGGTCGTGGCGTTGTCGGAAACGATTCGTGTAGGCAGAGATCTGCGCGCCGCAAAACGTCGAAAAGCGCGGAGAAAACTATCGGTTGATAAATCTTGAACCAATTCCAAGTGTATTGCTCTGGTATTAGCACACGTGAAGAGACATATGTAACATTTTCTCTCGCCGCCATTTTCCCGTTTAACGTATAGTTCACCAGTGAAATCAATGCCACAAACCTGAAAGGGTTCAGATTTCTGGGTGCGATAGTTAGGCAGAGGGGCGGTGATTGGTTTCATGTAAGAACGTCCGGTAACACGTTTGCATATTACACATTTCCGTAGTAACGCCTTGACGGTAGCTCTAATCCTTGTAATCCAGTATGTTTGACGTAATAACGTGACAGTACTTTGTAGTCCGGAATGTAGTGATCTTTCATGGGCATCACGAACTAGTAAATTCGTAAACTGGTGATCAGGAGGTATTAAAATTGGAAACTTAGCATTGTCTCCAATGGGCGCATTGTGTAGACGACCACCACAGCGGATGACGTGTTGTTTATCAATAAATAAACGAAGTTGTCGAATTAAAGGCGAGGCTTTGTTATTTTCAACTTGTAGGAATTCACGTTCTTTTTGATAACGCGTCTTCTGTACATATACTACCCATTTTGATTGTGCCTGCGTGATTTCGTTCGCTGCTAACTCATTCAGATTTCGAGATTGTGCAGGTTTTTTGATGTTATCGACGAACCTTAAAACAAGCGCGGTAATACGATTTAACTTTTGTAAAGAGTTGTATCGATTTATATCAACAATTTGACCAATGCCGGTAGTACTGACAGTGTCCAAACCAGCATTGGTTTGACCGATGATGTCAGTGTTGACTTTGTCAGCGTTTTCAGTAGAATCGTGAAGCTCGATCTGTTCATCAGTTGTACATGTTGGGGTTTTCTTATTCAGAACGTTGTTAATAATAATAATAATAAAGATAATTTATTGCATCCTTAGAAATACAGTGTTTCCATCAGTTTATAGCAACAAAAGTAAGATATTAAAAAACAAAATAACAAAATAACTATAGCAAATAATAAATGATAGATTTTAGTGTTTTTGTTAAGTATCTTTCTCGTTTCTCATTAAGAACGAGCTGTGTATAAATTCTCCAACAAGTTTGATTACATTTG